ATCATTGAACCAATACACACTACAGGAGCTTTTATTATCATTAACAAGTCGATTTTATAGAAAGATGTTGATTGAGCAAAATTCTGACAATAGATATGAATTTTTAAATTTCATGTTCGATTGTCGTACTTTTTTCATTAACAAATTCGAAAGTTTGAAAAGGCCGCTGTTTGTTATAGGTCTATAATAGAGTTTCCTACGTACTTTCGGTACATGTAATAAATTAAAAGTATAGTCAAGCGCTAAATGTTCAAAGGAGGGCTGTCCAGTTGATGGATGACTCTGCTCTACCGGAAAGTCTCGAGACCCTTCCGCAATGACGAGCCGTCGGCGATATAGTTCAATGTCAGCGGGCTTTGCTCCTTGGAGCGTATGACTTTGGCCCCCCATTCTAGCCGTATCGAACTTCGTACATCCAGAACGGCTTGTTATCTCCGCTCCTTTGTCGCTATGGTATCGAGGCTGTAGTTCAATCTCGCTGACGAGGCTTCTCGCAGTCCGAATAACTTTGGGTGATTTAAAAATCGCTTCAACAAAGCTTCCTGAAGCCTCGATGCCCTGCTATTTGGGCTTCTGCCTACACGGCTGCATGGCATAAAATGTTGTTGCATGTTCTCCGGACACGTGTGTTTCCACATGGGCAAGAGGCTGGCATATATTGCGTAACATGCTGCTTTTCATATTGGAAACGTACCTTATCACGTCCTTTTGTCGATTGACAGGCTGTTAAAGTTTCAACCGAGCTTACTGCTATCAGAATGTGAATGACAATACCCTTGGCAAATTACCAAATTACACTAAAGACGGTCCTTAATAATGTGTCGATCGTAATTTTGTTTGGTAACGATTGGAAAGGTAACCCAAAAATCATCCTGCGGAAGCCTATGTCCCGACGCCTCGTCATGGCTAACTCAATTTTAACACTGCGGTATCAGAATTGATATTCACTTAGTTACGAAAGATAATTTCCGTAGGATCGTACTTAATTTCAGCAGCTATCTCCCGCAGGCTATTTATGCAAACTTACCAGCTCTAATCCATTTTAACGCTATTTTACAGACAAATATTCTGGCGTCGTTTTTGAACAAGATGTCTCTTAAAAATGTCTGCTTCCGTTGGTTAAACGGCCGTTTAATCAGGTTCTAAAAAATCTGTGTATTGTACATATATTTTATACACTGCCTTTCAAAGAGGGAACTTTCCTACTTACTTTCTGAACGGGTCTAGCTAGGAACCTGAAATTGGGGATGATGAAATTTATGCAGAAATACTATATCTTAGCGAAATAACTGCAGTTGAAAATTTCAAGATGGCAGCTGTGCGTCACTTTGTAATATCCTCCAAGTAGAATGAGAGGTCGGGTGATACCCTACTTTTAAGCTCCTTATGAGAATATAAGGTTACTATTCCAAAATAGCGATCTGACAGCCTGTCAAATTTGAGCGTTTTGTACATATACAGGGAGTTCCTTAATGATATGCGAATATTTAAGGGTGTAACTCTACATGAAAAATTAATGTTAGTTTGCTTTGTAAACTGTGGTCCAAAAATATTTCCTTACAAAAACTCGGGGAGTTGAAGTTTTAGGAAAAACATGGAAATTAATTAGTATCTTCAGAACCGCTTCAGATATTTCACTGATATTTAGTACGTAGTGAAATTTAATAAAGTTGCATATTTTTCAATGCAAATATATTTTTTAGCTTTAACAGTGGCGTGCGTACGGGTATTTAAGAAAAAATAGTACGCCAGTGGTTTTTTGTCAAATAAAAATTATTTTTGAATTTCACGTCCAATTCAAAACAAATGATCTATCTTGAATTGTTTTCCTTCGATGCGCCATTTTTGAGTAAAAAAATAAAAACTGTCCTATTGTCCGAGAAAATTAATGTTATATTGAAGAATGCAATTTAGCAATAAATATCTAGTTGCTCCGGAATATGTCACTGGCTTTTGACATCTGACAAGTACCTGTTATTCAAATTTGTTCGCTGTGACATCTTTTCCATTATTTGGTTTTTACAATCTTGTTAATAATGGTGAATTAGTCAAATCCAGAAATGGCGGAAATGCATTACGTATATGGCCTTGCCGACGGTAATTGTGAGCAAGGCAGACTGATTTATCACCAGAGATACCCTGATCGTGCTTTGCCAGATAGTCGAACCTTTTCTAATATTCATCGTCATCTTGTTGAAACTGGTTCTGTCCGAAAAGGAACATGTGAAGGTAGACCTCTTAGTGTGAGAACACCTGAAATTGAGGAAGCAGTGCTGCACGAAGTCGAAGAACATCCTGAAACAAGCACGAGGAAGATCGCTAGACACTTAAATATTTGCCATCAAATTGTTTGGAGAATCTTTGGTGGATTTTTGGTTATATCCTTACCATATTTTAAGAGTACAGGCATTACTTCCCAGTGATTTTCCGAGTCGTGTGACCTTTTCTCAGTGGTATCTTACACAAAATCCGTAATTTGAATCAGTGGTTCTGTTCACGGACGAAGCTTATTTTATCCTCGAAATGCCATTCAGAATTTCCACAATGATCGTTTGTGGGCAGAAGAAAATCCCTATGCCGCAAGCGAAACCCATTTCTAACACCAATTTTCGGTCGACGTAAGGGCAGGGATTATTGACAACCACTTTATTGACCCATCCTTCTTGCCGGGCGAATTGACGGACAGACTTACCTCAATTTTCTTCAACAACAGTTGCCTTTGCTGCTTAATGATGTTCCGTTAGTAACACGAAACGATATGTGGTACATGCAGTGTAGCGGTTCGCAATTGCTTACAAACTGTTTATCCAAATCATTGGATTGGCCGCGGTGGGCCCCAAGAATGGTCCCTAGACCTTAACAGTTTAGATTTTTTTGTGGGGATATCTATACAAGTTCCATTAACACCGTAAATGAATTAAGAGAAATAATAGTTGCAGCTTGTGATAGAATAAAAAACACTACAGGGATATTTCAACGAGTGCGCAATTCCATCAGAAGGAGGGCGGAAGCATGCATACTTAGTGAAGGGGGTCATTTACAACAATTTTTGTAATCATTTCGTTGGTTTTGATGTTATGTTTATGTTGTCAGTTGTTGTTGTTCATTATCCGTAATGTGTTTAATTTTTCCAATTAAATTAATTAATAATAATTTTGCAACGTAGACAATAGAATGGTTTTTATTTTTTTACTCGAAACTGGCGCATCGAAGGAAAACAATACACTATACGTTTTTGTTTCAAATTGAACGGGGAATTCAAAAAGATTTGTATTTGGCAAAACACCATTGGCGTATCATTTTTTTCTTAAAAATAATCGAAGTGAATACCCGTACGCACGCCACTGTTAAAGGTAAAAATTATTTTTGCATTGAAAAATGTGCAACTTTATTAGCTTTCGCTGCGTACTAAATATCAGTGAAATATATGAAACGGTTCTGAAAATATTAATTAATGTCCATTTTTTTCCTAAAACTTCATCACACCGAGTTTTTGTAAGGAAAAATTTTTGGATCTTAGCTTGGAGAGCAAGCTAACATTAATTTTTCATGTAGATTCACACATTTATATATTCGCGTATCATTAAGAAACACCTTGTATAACTTATAGCTCAATTAACTCATCAAAACGCTATAGTATCTGGTCAGTCTTCTCATCTTGCAGGGATCTACCTGAATATGTAATAAAACAGGGTAACATTCCATTAAAAAAGATGCCACAACCAGTTTTTTTTTTTAATGAAATACCTCATATTTTATTGCAAATTACAGTCGAATGATGGTTGATTGTTATAAGTGATACAATTTAGAAAAATGCTTATCTTTGACGGTCTGTCAGTCCGCCATTTTGAATGACGATGTTTCAATTTTTCAATTCAATTCGTCCCATGCAGTCATTTCTCTATGTGTATCTATCTGTCTTACCACCACATAATGCCAGCAACCGCGGCACCTATTCAAACTCAATTTGGTATCCCTGTTGATCTATGGTGGGATAGTAGTGGCAGGTTATACATTTGAAAACATTCCACAACGGACTTATCGAAAACCACTGATCAAAAGAAAAAACGCCGCAGTAGTAGACTCTTCGGTCTCCTGATCAGTCGCCGTGCGCTTTGCGGGTTCGAATCCCGTCCCAGGAGAAATTTTTATCTTGGCGATGGATGTTGTGATTGTCTGTAGGTGGTAGACGCTCTCTGACTGTCGAACGCGGAGGTACCACCCGATGGATCTCGTAGGCGGGGCCAGAATGTGTGCATGTTGCATGCACACGTGTTCCCTTGCCAGAATTCGTCTGGAGTTCCCCCTTTCCCCGGTATCCCCCTATAGCCCCTAGGTACCCCATGGGTGTTTAGGCTTTCGGCCTTCGTGGTGGTTGGAGTATAAAAAGAAAAAACTACCGCACCCCTTCTCACGCTCTGCCCTCCAGGCTCATCCCCTCAAAAGGGGGTATCGGGTAATAGTTTGTTTGAAAAGTCTTTCGAAGTCCTTCATCTTGACGTTTGATTTTTTTAAAATCGATCGATTCGTTTTCAAGAAAACTAGGAAAATCTTTATTTATCTTAACTTGTTCAGACACATAAAGAACAAAAACACACGACACTATTACTTTTTATTTTAATAAGTGTTCAAAATGTTGCTCGTTATTGGACAAACATTGATGTTCAAATTCCTGAAGGACATTTCCAAAAACATGTTGTGGGATAACATAGCAGCTTTCGATGATGCGTTGACGAAGTTGATGCAAACTTTAAGATTAGGGAGTAAACACAATAGATTTCAAATGACATTTGGCATTTTTTCTTGTAATTAGTGGTTTTCGATAAAGCCGTGGTATAAGTTTTCAAATGAATGAATTTAAGCTTCCTCTATAAACTTATTGACTACACCCTACAATGTTCATTACTATACAATAGAGTAATATTACAGTAGGTATAAATGCCTACGGGGCAGTGCAATCACGTCAGACTAAAAATATAATAATAATATTATATTTTTAGTCTGAGGCAATCACTCTTGCTAAGATCTGTCAGCATCGTGCATTTTACGCGCATCGCATGGCAGTACATGCTCAGCACTGAACAGGGTGTGACTACACATTCTTTAGAAAAATATCAGGATATATTTTTATTGTACTATTTGCCTCAATATTGATCGCGTCACAAATAATTTTAGATTAATGGTTCGATTCAATAATATTGGACACCTGGTGTTATCAGAAACTTAAATAGAAATCTGGAATGTTCAAAACAATAAATATTTGCTGAAATACATTATTTGCCTTCATTCAATGAGCTGTTTTTTTGAAGTCGGATTTACAGTTCATCGAGCTCAACCACTTCCTTTACGATTTCCAATTTCAACCGGAAATAAAAACAATAAATTTTATGAGTATTTACTTTTGACATATAAATTGGATATATGCACATGCATTTTTCATAAAATACTGTATACGTCGAAAGAATTCACTGCGACTATTACCAATGCAGTGATAGAAACGTACCTAGAAACTGCTCCTGTATTCTCTCCCACTAGTTTCACTTAGCCTGGTTAGTAAACTGAATAGTACTAGTGTGGAGCATCATCTTAAGAAAAGCCTGAATATATTTTTAATATACTAAGTGACATATAAATCCGAACACCCAATTTAGATGGTTTTATTTTAATAAAATTTTGTATAAGTACTTAATGAAGCATAATAAGTAAATGATAGAAATTTCAGAATGATTGCACTGCTTTAAAGCCCTTTGACCTTTAATAATGTGTGGATGCACTCTGATGTGCTACGCATTCTCCAACGCGCCTAGGCATGCTTCTGATCAGGTGGTCAATGTCCTCCTGTGGTATCTCATTCCAGGCAACCACCAACTCCTCTCGAAGTGCTTCTAGAGTCTAAGGAGGACGTTGCAAATTGAGCAATCTCCTACCCATCATATCCCACACGTGCTCAATTGGGGATAAGTCGGGAGATCTTGGTGGCCATGGTAACAATGTGACATCATTATGTTGAAAGAAGTCTATTGTGACTCTTGCAACATGTGGTCGGGCATTATCTTGTTGGAAAATTGGATCTGCCAGGGTGTCAAGATAGGGTAAAAGATGGGGTTCTAGAACTTCGTGGATATAACGCTGCGCGTTCATGTTACCTCTGATGAAGATTAAAGGTGACCTAGAACCATAAGCTATAGCACCCCAAAACATAACTCCAGCAGCGTGATGAACATGTCTTTCAACAAAAAACTGTGGATTCCTCCTTTCACCACGTCGCCTTCTAACCCTGGCACGACCATCTTGCATGCCTAAACAAAATCGAGACTCGTCACTAAATACAATACTGTTCCATTCCTGATCCCAGAGTGACCGTTGTCTGCACCACTCAAGGCGATTACGTCGGTGTTCTCGAGTTAAAGGGAGGACCCAGTGTGGCCGGTATGAAAACAAGCCAAAACTTCTCAACCGTCGGTAAACACTTCGCATGCCAGTAGGTCTTCCGTGTTCTGAAACCATTCATTTACAATGGACCTGGTAGTGGAGAAACGGTCCCTTAAGGCCAATAATCTTAGGCGGCGATCTTCACGGTATGTTGTTCTACGGCGGCGTCCAGTGCCCCCTGCTCTTTGCGTACGGCCTTCTCGAAGCCATGCCTGACAACACCTAACCACAGTGTCTACACTTCTTTGCACTCTAACTGCAATTGCCCGAAAAGAAAGTCCAGCTTCCCGAAGTCCCGCTATACGGCTCCTATCAAACTCACTAAGTTGACGAAATCGTACAGGTCTCCGTACTCTAGGCATCGTAACCGATCGTAAAGGATGTCAAGAACCAAAATCCGCCAACGTTGATTCTTTACTGCGGCTGAAATATTCATTTTTAGAGCATTGTTGAACTAAAAAAAAAGCAGTATAAAAACCGGAATGTCCAACTGATAAGGCTGAAAATTTTTTCACTTTTTATTTACAGTAAGATGAATACATTCACCAACTTTTATTAAAATAAAACCATTTAAACTGGGTGTCCGGATTTATATGTCACTTAGTATAGTTGTATATGTTGAAGCATAAGTATATTAATTTTGAGAATTTGCAGTTGAAGTATGGAGTAATGGAATTGGTGGAGAAAAAGTTGTCAGCGAATAAGTCATTAATGTCAAAAAGTCTGTCATAATCATCGCTACATTTTTGTAAATAAAATGTAGTATAGCATATTCTAGTCGAGTTGCCTCAGAAGGAACCCATCGTTAATTGTACAAATAAGTGTTTGTCTCAACATTGATCACGTCACAATATATTTTAAATTCATGGTTCGATTCATATCTATTGAATACCTGCGGCTACTAGAAATTTTTATGGAGTTGGAAGCTGGACTGTCCAAAAACAATACATATTCGTTGAAATATCTTAATCGCGTGGGTTCCACGAAATATTTTTTTTAAATTTACAGTTCGTCTGGTTCATCCACTTCCTTTGGTATTCCGAATTTTCACCAGAAATAGAATCAATAAATCCCCTCAGCATTCATTTTTGCAATACAAATTTTATGTTGGTGCATGCATTTTCCATGTAATAATTGAATATTTCACTGTGAATATTACCGATGCAAAATTACACAGCAGTTGAAAGCTAGAAAGTTGTTATTAATTATCGTATTTGAAATTATCTCAGAGTGTTGTACCACTGTAATTCACTCGCGGAAGTCAATAATAAAGGTTAACTGAAAAAACGCTGAAATTTAGTTTTGTTGTGATGATAATATCAGTTGTTCTTAAACCAAATGGTTATCACCCCAGACGTTTGTATTTCATTGTCTGTGTTACGGGACCAAGGACAGATTTCTAAATGTTAGCTTGAATTAAGTTCTATTTTCAAGTTATAAGGTGTTTTGGCGTGTAAACGCAGGATAAAAAAATCTAACAGGTTAACTACTGCATGGGGCAGCATAGAACGGAGATAATAAACAATAAAGCAATATAAAACTAACAATCAATCATACCTCCCAACTAGCAAACTAGTGGTATAAGCTTTTGGTAAAAGAACCTTTCAGCCATAAAAGCTCTCTATTGTTGTTGCCTGAACACCAAAATGCTGGCTTAATGTTGTGTGGAATGCAAATTTGCTTTCCGCAACATATTTGCTCTAAAATGAGGTGTTTAAACTAGTCTTATAGCATAGTTACAGGGCACCTTACAGGGCAAATTTTTAACTGTTGCATAAACGTTTATACAACTATTTTATACGGCATATTTGCATGTTAGTCAAAATAGTTCTGTTGCGGCACCCATGCTAACGTTTATAAAACAAACCCGAGCCTTGTTGCTTTGCTGTACAATTTACTACATTAGCCAACAAATTGCTCCCAACGGAAGCACTTATACAACTGTTACGTATGCTAAATATGCTGGTAAACAATTTCACCATAACCTAACTTTCTGCTGTCATATTTTTGTTAAAATGCCATAACCAATGTTTTAAGACAAACAACGCATGCATATCGGTTCAAAAGGTTTTATCAACTGTTCAAACATAAGATATAGATCTGGTACAAACTCTGGGTAAATCATTAGACTTTGTCGGTATTTCATTTCAGACATTTGTCAAATTGTTGTATAACACCTGCAGGCAACACCAAAATATTCTAATAACCTAAAGACAACATGGACGATGACATGATTGTACACAACCACCCGCCATATTGGGCAAACATTTATTCCTCTATTTAATATGAAATAATTATGTTTCAGTTCGAAATTACAGATATAAAGTGAAAAACATTAGTGCAATTGTGTCTAAATATCGGATTTGTGGAAGATTTAACGCCGATAAGTTCAGTTTTCCATCTTAAAAATCTAGACATACTTTTGATCATTGTCAAAATATGAACCAAATACGAAGCCCGTAGAAATTGAGTAACTAATTTGCACGATAATCACAATAAAATTTGCTGCGCAAGTAATTCAATAGCCCTATGTCAAAGTGTAGAAGTTTATCATATACCTGTGTATGAAATTCACAATGGCCGATATGTAAGTAAACAAGATGACTGTAATGTGTTAGTTATATATTCTTCACTTCGTCTATACAATACATAGGAAATAGTTTGGTTGCAATAAAGTCGAATCACGTAAGAGAATAGTTGTATAGTTGACAAAAACTGAATCTTGCACTGACGCAAATGTCCTATAGCGGCTGCAAGAGGCTTACACTTTTGTTTTATAACTGTTACCTGCAGCCCTTATACAATCTCTTAAATGACTGAAGTGTCCTATTAGGTGTGCCCATTCCACTTGTATAGCTGTTCTAAGAGGGTTTTGCTAATGTTCTTCAGTATACAATGCTGTTTAAGGAATACTGTATAATCATTCTTGCAACTCTAGTAGGAGTGATAATTGTTAGTTGGGCTGTTTGTTACAATATGCTACTTCGGTTTTGGAAGTTACATGTTAAATATTGACTGTTATTTTCAATAAAATGCTGAATAATTGCTGCCATACCAATCTAGATATTGTATCCGGCCTGTCCCACGTTTCGAGCTGGTCACAAATCCTTCTTTTTGATTTCCCGAATTTGCGACTGGACCGAAAATGTTTGTTTTTTATTGGTAGAAATTGTGCCTTGGTCGCAAATGTTGTGACCGACGTCAAATAAATGAATAGGATTTCTTAGCTAAACCAGGCGATTCCTGGAGTATTTGTTGATTTAGAATGGTAACTAGGGGCTCGTATCACACAAATCGTAACATTTTTGTCTAGTTTTAGAAGTATTTTTCAAGAAATTGACCACATAGTCACGTCAGATCCATTACCTAAAAAACGCTTTCTGATTGCCTAGTTTGGCCCCAAACTTTGTGCCCTGGATTAATAAAGTTGAGCCTGTGTCCATCATGCTACTAGCTACCAGATCATATTCAGCCCATGTTTAGTTTATGCAACTTTTTCATAGTACCTCATAGCTGCTAGCACTGTGAGTACTTAGTACTCCTCTGATTGTTAAGGTCAGTAGCCTGTAGTTTCCTGCTATCGACGAGACGTAGGGGTCGGTAATACTGCGTTGCGTTTGTAGAATAACTCATAGGCGGCAGTGTCACCTACTC